AATGGCCCTCGAGCGTCTGTTGTAAGGCTCCTGTCGTAGCGTCCCAGAGCCGCACTGTCTTATCGTCTGACCCCGAGACGACCTGCTTGCCGTCGGGGGAGAAGGCTACTGACATGACCCCGCTAGAATGGCCCTCGAGTGTTTGAAGCGTCGCACTCCAATGTGCTTCTACCCTAGGCTTTCTCAGGATCCAATGCGGAACATACGTCTCGAACGTTTCTCGAATAATACTCTTCTCTGGAGCAAAGACAAGAGCCGAACAATATACTTGAAGAGGCGCCTGTTCAATAACTGAGCGGGTGGATAAGGCAAACCGCGTTGCATCTTGTATAAACGCATGCAAATCAGGACTTTTTATCAAACTGTCTACTTTAGAATAGTCCAAAAACGATGAGACTACACAAAAGACGTACCTGAAGATTCTCGAGCTTCCGAATCATAACTACGCCTTCTAACACGCTTTTCAACAGGCTTAGCGCCTCAAGCCAATACAAGAAGTACTGGTGGAGGAACTTGTAGACCGAGCTACTGGCCTCGAGGTTCTTGACTGAATTTTTTGTAATTCGACTTCCGAGTAAATGATTGACCCAGTAAAGACAAGAGTACCTTATGGCGGCGAGAGGATTAGGATCAGGCGATTCTACTTGGTCGATAAAGATCCCGGGAGCACTTAGATTATAGATATCACGCCGTAGTGTTGTAGACATGACTTGTAGTGATCGAGAGAAGATAGTGTTATGCACGTCTTGTGCTCTAAGGAGAAGTGGTTCTTGAGGTGCCTTTCCAATCAAAAAGTCCTTTGCTGACTAGTGTACGAAAAAAATCGTGCGCTCTCGGATTGCTAGAAAAGATCTGCAGTAACTAATAATCTCTGCTAGAGCTTCATATTGGCCATTAACTCCATTAGGCATCTTCACCAAAGTCACTAGCTCGTCAATTGTGATGGGCCGATACACAGTCGATACGACAGCCAAAACATTCATACACAGCTCAGAATCCTCTGACGCCTTGATTTAATCCAGCATCCGCTAGTAGAGTGCATCGAGTCCAGGCGGCAAGGCTTTCAACTTCTGGATGGCTTTCCACCCTGAAAGATTCGACAGCTCCTGGCAGACTAACGCCACCCAGAGAAAAGTACTATGTGCGTTCAGCGAAAGATGTTGCTAGATAACATCTCGTGTCTCGCTCGTATATTTGTTCTTCTCTCTTAGATCGTGAACTTTAGTTTGAATGAAAGTCGCAACTACAGTAGAGACGGAATCCGCATTTAGCTCGAGACACAGCCTTTGCTTCTGCATTGCGGTGTCGAGCGTCTTCTCAATTTCTGGCCAGTTGCGGCTAGAGACTACCCATTTGACACAAGAGGACACGGACGAAGTCTGCGCGATAAAGCACAATAAATTTGGCAAGTCTACTACGCATTTATCGAGGGCATCGACAATCAAATAAGTCGCAACCAGATTCGGATCGTGTAGAATGCTAGAGAAAACCTTGGTCAAAGCAACCTAGGCATTCGCATCTTCAAAGAGCGCCTTGCCAGCTTCATCGTAACTCGCTTGCACATGCGAGACGAGAGATGGCTGCTGGTCGACTAGTAGATAAATCAGACCTCGTAGCACAGCTGTGGCACGGTTGATCCGGGAATCTGTGGCCTGGCAGAAGAAGTACGACAGAAGTGCAGACTTAGCCAACGAATTCTGTAGTTCATCGGCAATACCGCAAAGCAACATTGTCTTACCCTTCCCAGGGTCGCCCTTGATCCACAGTAACCGATGGTGTTGATTGGTACGCCATTGTTGAAAGTCGGAGGTTTCTATCACCCATCGGTAAGCCTCCTGTAGTAACCCTCCTTTGGTGGCCTCAATACGTTGCTTATCTAGACGAGGATCGGTAGGCCGTAAGTCTTGCATACATTTCTGTATTTCGCGAAATCTATTCCACAGCCAATCGAATGCTTTCGCGACTCCTTCACCATAGGTGGGGACTATAGAGACACCGAAGATGCCCAGCAATGAGTACGCTTTATCCTCCTCTTTACCCGTTTCTCGATGCTTAATCCACTACATTCGCTCATTGATGTGAAACTAAGATAACGATTTTGCTTGGAGCGCAGAGGGGGAAATGTTTGTTGCTTTGTAGATTTGCTTCTGGAGAGAGCTCTTATCACCAAGTCGCTTGCCCTCGAAGGAGAAAAATTCCACCGAAGCTAGGGCAAGGAGCTCTTAGAGTGTCCAGCCTCGAGTAAACCATCTACTCTCCCGAAAGCTCAAGTCCCAATTATGCTCTGACGACTGATCACTCGCCTTTCGCTTCCTTGTCGAAACATCCGACAAATAGACATAATATCGACTTGCATTGCGATACCAACGGAATATAGAGTTGATGGAGTGCCTGAGCTCAGCCTTGTTTTGCTTATTGATACAGCAGGTATCAACCCAAAAGTATGGTAGACCATCTTGTCTAGCCTGTTCTCCACAGAAATTAATCTTCTTGAAACCATCCTTGTTCTGGCCAGTCCCGCTTATCACTTCCGCATATGTGACTTCCTTGCTATTATCCTGTTCCCATGTGTGCGAGAGTATAGCATACTCAGGTATATCGCTCTCATTGAACTCGATCAGGCTGAAATCGCCATCGTTGTTGTACTGTAGCAGACGCATGATTCGACTAGGTTCGAGAATCGTACAAAGGAGGGTTCTCGGTAGTAGTTGAGCTGTCGAGTTGGCATAGATTGGAAGGGTGAAGAGTTCATGTCTGGCTGAGGCTGGCGCACTCAGCTGGGCGGCAGCCTCGCGGCAACAGCATTGTTGTACATAACTGGAAGCGTGCAAGACCGGCCCAGCTGCTCAGGTTCACCGTAGGAATGATGGAAATCATGAGTATAATAGATTCTTATTGGTAAGACGAAAGCTAAAGAACTCTAGGAATTGAGTAATCAAAAAAGCGATTCAGGACACAGTCTACCTTCAATTATCCATCTCTGGTCGAATTCTAGCCTTAAGTCTCAGGCTGGAATTTATTAAGCAGGCCACGGCGAAACTACGGTAAAATTTCTAAAGCTTTGCGGGAGGGTCCGCCTAGCCGAGAATCGTTAGATTTGTCGATCAGAAGTACTAAATCGCGGAGCGCGCCACGGCAGCAAAAATGCTTATCAGGGTCTCGGACGAAAAAATAAGGATCTGAAGCTCAGATAATAACTTTTAAGAAGTGCAGGCGATAACATGAGTTCGCTGGTATAGCTGTATAAGAAGAGTCGTACCAAAACCTAAATAAAGGCTTCCTATAAATCAGGCGAAATGGCAACAATGTGATATAAAATTGTCTTCCAAAGGTGTCAAAAAGCTAATAAATAGCTGTGTAATGCTACAATTTTGTTTGTTTATATAGACTCATAAGCTATTGTGGAGTTTGAGATACTCGAAGTCGAAGTACCTCTCGTTTTTCTCGGCACGCAGGGAGGGACGTCATATGGGCCATGTTCATGGTTGACACGTCCCGCCATCAAAAAAACATTGATTCTGCCCAGATCTTCAAGAATGAGTAGGTCCTCCATAGCCGATGACATATCCCATCTCGTGGTGGATACCTCTATGGTGGTTCCCTAGGGACGCTGGACAGGGCTCGAGTTCCTGCCAGCGTATATCCTCACCTAGAGACTGGCAGAACATATCAAAGATACAGTTGAAAAGATTGCCTTGTGCTAGGCACACTGTAGCATTGCCTTGTACCGAAGACAGTCAAATGTCCGAGTTTCAAGATTTCCCAGTTCCAGGGATTCTAGAAAGAGAATGAGATGACCTCAGCTTAAAGGTAAGTTTTTCTTGCACAAATATATGCAGTGTTCCCCTTGCCTGAACTCATACGTCGTGAATCATGATAGTCCCTTCTGAAATTCTTATTGCTATTTCTAGCTACTTGCATGTTAAAGACTTGAAGCGTTTCCGTCTCATTAATCGCTCTTGCGCTACTGCTGGGCTCTGCCACATTCCCCAGAATGGAATCTCAGTTGTCGACAATTTTGAGTGCCTGGAGAGCCTTATATCTCTTCTGGCTTGCACGACTATCGCCAATAATACGAAGAAGTTGACCTTTCTCTGTGGCGACTGGCGCGCTTGTTGGGGACAACGAGGGGGGGCGCAACAACTTGACCAAGGACACTTGAGCTTAACCGAACCCCAGCCTTCAAGGCGATACTACGACGATGTAGCAGTGTTTTTCGAAGTATTATCTTTGCTACCCAATCTTCAACATATCCGAATCGATACCCAGACTTGGAATCTCAAATATCAAGCCAAGACTACCGAAACGCTGACTTGTGGAGTCGAAAAGTTTTTGTTGGCTTTCAACAATCAGTTTCCTAAAGTCACAATTATGACAATTATTGGTCCCTTTGATCCCGCAATGCTTGATATTCCACTGTTCTATTACCAGTTTCAAAGCATACAGGTTCTTCAAATAGACTCATATGGGGTTTTGCCTGAACATACAACACGAGACTTTCTAGCTGCTTTCCCGAGTCTTCAGAGTCTGTCACTCAAGTGTCAAAGTAGATTTGGGTCAGGAAATTTCTGTCAGACGGATTGCTGGAAAGACTACCTGGCGACGTCTGAGTGTTCTGTGCTCTGTTGTCCAGACTTTCAATGAGTTGTACAAAGCTGCAAGCGTTTTTTTTGTATTTGTAAGGCTAGCTATATAAATCAATTATTTTATGTGTGATAGCCATTATAATCATTCATTTGTGCAACTTCTTCTTCAGCTCATAAGACAAGATGAGCGCTAGTAATTCAAGTAATTACGCTAAGTGATGGAGTTCAATATCTTGATTGCCTTTGTGTCCACCCCACTTCTCTCAAAGATCCCGTGCTATCATTGCCACCAACACTAAAGGCTAGGCAAGGTTCAGTAGTATAGCCACTACTGTGCTTTGAACGCCCACCTTACTTCTGCCATGCGGACCCACCCAACGATCATACAGAAAAGTTGTGAACCAGATAGCCGTCATTGCGTATGCAGAGCATGCCCAGATCAAGGCAAAAATCCTCCCGTTGCGAATATTCGATTAAGAAATTATATCGTTAGAAGTATCGACTTTGGGATTCGAGTAATTGCGGGAAAGATTTTGTCCCATGTTGAGTTGGGAAGTATTTGGTTCTGAATTGAGGAATCGATATTTGCCAGCACCCGTACACGCTTTTACCAAATCTTTCCGTGCGACTTAAGGTTCATGTATGCAAGTAAATTCAGTAGAAATAAGGCGGAGGGGAAGCTAAGTGAAGATTGTGAAGAATTCGTGGAAACGTGAATTGAGGACGGCCAGGGTTGACGTTGTGGCGTGCTGCCGCCAGGGATATCATGCCGCGCGAGACAGGGTGCCCCATGTCATTGCATGTCCTCAGAAACAGGAATCTGAGGAAAGATTAAGATTGTAGAATACTTGAAATCTCCAAACTTTAAATCAATATTTACATGTAAGTTTGATTAAGATCCTACAAAAACTTTAGGAATTGGAAAACAAATAATTTGTGAAAGTGTGGACTGAAAGTGTCAGGGGCTGATACTGGTGGTGTGCGAGGTAACAGGGCACCCATGTCCTACATGCATGTCACGGAAACAGGAATCCGGGGAAAACGAACGTGAATTTACAAAGCTGAGGGCAGCTTTTCATGCCGTTTGATGTGGTTATAGGTCTGATCACTTCTTTTGCCATGGGAATCTCTCATCTGCATCCAACTACTTGCGTCTTTGAGCCCAACATGTATGTTGCTCGATTATTCCAAAAGATTTCTGGGACGCGACACTTACTGAACGCTTCTTCAAATGAGGAATTCTCCATGCTGCCTCGAATGTCTAAGTGCACATGTGGGAAGTGCATCAATGGCTGTCTTTCACCAAGAATAGGATGGCTTCTATCTCGTAAGTATTGAACAACAGTTGAAGATCAGCTTTGACTTTCTAGATTTAGCATCAATCTATAAAGCACAATTTCCACGCACACGTGAATTGTTTAAAGACCTTCACCTGGATGAGAACAATCATTTGGGAGAGTTGCTCGATATCGACCTTTTTGACGACCTGGGTCACATTCCAGTGGAGTTGAAAAGAGAGATGAGACGAAACATTCGAGCAATGAACGGTTATTCTCAAGTCTTCTTGGGTATAGTGCGATGCATTGAAGATTCTTGATTCGTATTGTGGGAGGAATGAGGATGCCAAGGTTTTTCTCCAAGCTGGGGGAAGTCCCAGACATGCATTGCACTATATTTTTGAAAGACTAAGAAAAATCCTCAATGGAGCCGTGGGCTTAGAGAAAAGACTCGGGTCACTCTCTTGGTGTGTTAACGATGTTGAGATAGATGTACTCCAGGGGTTGGTAATGCAACTGGCTAATGTAGGTAGTTAAGGCGTCTTTTTCACCATAAAGATACTAGTAATTACTTGGCCTAAGACGAAATTCAATTTTCAATTCATTTTGAGATCATAGCATCTTCCCAAGACCAAAATGAGGCTTGATTTTCCTGAAGAGCTGTCATCTGGACCAAATTGAGCTTGCACGTTTCGTTTGTTTTATATTGATAACGTCCGTCCCTGCGTAGCGAGACACCCTGTGTGGCGAGACACTTTTCCGTACGGACCCTCGGAATCGCTCCACGTTAACTGCGTGAATTTATTGTAAGCGCGCTTTAATTCTGTAAATATTGTTTTTTAAACTTATTAACCTCTAGTAATTAAATATCTAGTGTTAAGCATGCTATTAATTATTTTATAAACGTGGTTTATAGCTTCTCCACAGATACCCCCCTGTTTATTCGCGACATCGCACGTCTATAGAGAGCTCGGAGGGCCACAACGGAAATCAAGATGTCGAAAATGATACTTTGGTAGCACTAGGCTTGAAAGGCCAATTTAAGGTGAGGAGTGTGCTTTCCGGGAGTTTCGCCGGTCAAAACAGAAAATTGTAAATGCGTTCCATCGCATCAGGATGCGCTAGCCTATCTTAGCATGCAGGCAGGCTGCAGTAGCGTGCTCAGATGTCTGTGTATAGTACTGTAACGACTTCGACGCTATGCCTACAGTAGGTTGACGGCTGAGAATAGATGTGGCGTATGCCGGCGGCTTTCGAGAAGCATCCACGATCATGTCTCAATCTGCCCGCCTGTTATACGCTTTGAGATCTATTTCTGCCACTCTTTCTAGGCACCCTTACGTGCCAGAAGTAAAACTACACACAGCGAGGACCTCGCTTTTGGAATCCACCCAGTGGCATTATATGGCGACAGCCACTCTCTCGCAGGATTCCCGAAGCTTCGACGTGGCAATAGATGCCCTATATATTTGTATGCATCCCAGTCCCCCTCTACGAAATAGAGATAAAAAGAGTGTGAATTCTCGTTTATTATCGCTACAAATTTTTCTATCTATGTTAAAGGTTAATACTGCAAGTCCATACTTTTCCAGACCCAACGCCTATACCAATCATGCTCCCGCACACAGATGAGCATGACGGTCGATACTCTGATGGTACCCACAGCATGTCGTCGCCGGCATGCTTGATCCATATGCTGTCTAAGCTAAGGCTTGTGCCTACACACAGGGGCGACTCAGGTTCTACAATATCTCTTATGCTAGAAACTTCTGAGCTCTGAATAACGATAGTACCTGATTCAGTGTAGAGAGCAGAGCCAGTAGAGTTAAAGGATAGGTCAAAAAGAGCTTTGCCGATGTTGTGCGTCTCCAGGCACGCGCCGCTGCTCGTATCCCAGATTTTGACGGTCTTGTCCCCCGATGCTGATGCCAGCTGGGCCGAGTCGTGTGAGAAGGCCACAGAGTGGACTGCGTCGCTATGGCCCTCGAGCGTCTGCAGGCACGCGCCGCTGCTCGCATCCCAGATCTTGACGGTCTTGTCGTACGATGCTAATGCTAGCTGGGCCGAGTCGTGTGAGAA